TACATCTCAAGTAAATGTTGTGAGAAAAAAAACCTCAGTAGTGAGGATATTATTTTGTTTTTTTCTGAAACTGATTTAGCTTAACAGAAATTATCATTTCTTGTCATTCAGTCTGACTTAAATACAGATAAAATGTAAATTTGCACTAAAATTGCACATTGTTCACTACATTAAGATTATTACATTACAGAGTCTACTCAAAAAATAATACTCATTCAAGTGTGAGTAGAAAATCAGAAGAAACAAGGATGGTCAGTTGTTTTCCTCAAAAAGCATACAAATGTACTTACAAACAGTTCTGGGCATGCTCAACAGTACAAAACCCCTGATCAGCTACTCAATTTCTCCTTTTCCAATCCTCTAAATAAAAATTCATTGTAGTTGATCGTAAACAAGGTCAATTGCAATTAATTATGCCCAAGACAAGCACTGAAAGGTCAAGAAAATTTAGAAAAAAGTTGAAAGAGGATTCTAAGTTGTATGAAGTCTTTAAAACCAATGTGTAATGTCCGCAATACTTTGCAACTTATAATTTCTGAGCAGAGAAAGCTGACCCAGGAAATATTTTGAGATTAAAATAAGGTATACATCAGACTAACTGAGCGGCATCAATAGCACATGAAATGTAGAGGAACTGAAAAAAGGTACCTTTAATGTTGCGGACATTACGTAATGTCCGTAACACAAATTCCGTATCTATTTTCTTAGGAGAGTGCCAGTAGCTGGATATGATAATTTATGGCCTAATGATAGTGTAACGCAAAACTAAGGCTATACACACATACTTTTATGTTTATTGTCATCTTTTCTTAAAAATCTTTTCTCATCTTTTCTCCAAAATTTCCAAATGTGATGAGATTCAAATTCTCCGGATTTCATGCCTTCTCACATTAAGCACATGGACAAGATGCACAAGATCTCAGTAATTTCAAACACCCCATTGTCTCAACTTTCTGAGGGTATAAGTGTTATTGCTCAAAATTTTATTTTAAAACATTCAAAATTTTGTTGTCTCACGTGGAATTTTGCCCAAGACCATGAATAGGTCAGTGACTCAAGTGACAACAAATAGACACTCTTCTTTTAGTCACTCTATAGTTCTAAATTAGAACGTGACAGTTGCTGTTTGTTAGTTTTGATAGGATTCAGTCACCAGAAATTGACCTCTTATTATCTTTTTTCACATAAACAGATTAATTTCAGGCTCAGTTTCTGTGTTGAATATACCATATTAACATGTCATTGTTGTTCAACAAACAATGATTAATGACCTTTGTGATTAAAACGTTTTTTGGATGCCATATAATAGTATATATATGAATATAACAGCCACATATTGCATGAGCAGTAGCACAATGACATTCAATGAAATATTTTTAAAAGTTATTGTAGATTATCCTCTTGCAAAGGCAGATGAGTGAAGCGCTCAGTTTCTAGATACATGTTGTACTGTAGCACAAGGCCAATTAATTAGTTTTTTAAAGTTATTGTTATCTTCTTGCAAAGACAATCGAGTGGAACACTGAGTTAGTTATAGCCTATTACACCATTTTAGAAAAAAAAGATTTATTATCTTTCTAATTAAATCAGTTTTCTGCGAACATGCAAACAAAAAAGAAAAAAAATATAACAGCTACGTATTGTAAAAGCAATAGCACAAAGAGATCTAATTAGTTTTTAAAGTTAATGTTATCTTCATGCAAACACAGTTGAATGGGACACTTAGTTTCTCTGTTGCATATATCCTGTACATCATTTTTACACAACGAATAACAATTATCGTTCTGATCAACACAATTTTCTTGCCACTATGCAAACAAAAATTATATATAATAGCCATATTTTGCATAGGCAGTAGTTCCGTTTTGTTAGTTATACAATATTTTTACCAATTTTTCAATTAAATAACACTAGATATAGTAATATTGTCAATAAACGATATCCTTTAATAAACTTATTTGTAAACGAACTGCGACTTCGTCGATTTTCCATACTCTGTTCATTCCAAACTCCTATTGCCTTTTCCGCCTTTTCTAGCCTGGATTTCAGACGATTATACTTCGACTCATTTTCTCCCTGAAAGAGTAAAAACAACTCAAAGTAATCGTCTCAAATTCAGGCTACACCTTTTCTGATCTGAGTTAAAAGACTATTACAGTACAACATAACAACAGTCAACACATACGGTATAGACTATAAAAATTTGCAAATAAAAATAATGCAACACTTTGCATCAAGGCGGCAGCTGTAGTGACAACTATTACTAGTTATATCTATATAGTGTTTGATCTGAGCTTCACTCAAATTGTTAGGATCAAAATCAGGCAGGTCATGATATTCAGATATTTTCATAAGATTATGGTAAAGCTATTTTTACCATTACAGTGAAGTTTTAGCGAGGTACGAAAGGCTTGTTTAACAATAGTATCCTCGTTTTTACGCAGAAGATACAATACGTAATAAAGGATGTTTTTGTACATATTAATAATTAATGACAATCGTCCTAATTCACTTCTAGCAACATTTGAAACTTTATTGCTTATTTCTAGGTAACGCTTGCAAAATTTCAAGTGGGTTTTTTCAATTGGGGTATTGTCCCAAGCTTTAAAATCATGTTTTACATATACACCCCCCAAAATCGCTATTATATGATAATATTGGGGAAATCATCGCTTCAAATATTTTGCAAGTAAGAGAAGGTTTTAATTTGCTAAAGTTTGTGTGTTTTCTTAAACCAAAAAGAGCATGAAGAGCCTTTTCTTTCAAGTGTTCGAGTGAGATATTAAAATTACCGGTTGAGGAGATACGGGTTCCTAAATATGTATATTTTTGGACAACATCAATGGTTTCTTTAACTTTATGTAATTCTAGATTGGAGTTTTTCTTCGCTCCTTTTTGAAAGATCATAAGACTTTGGTCTTTTTGGAACTTATATCTAACATCCAAGAGTTGCAAAAAGAGGATAGTGTGTTGAGACAGTTCTGTAATCCTATTTTAGATCGTGATATAATAATTAAATCATCAGCACATAAAAGCGAAATTAATTTGGTACCGTTTGGGAGGATGACAGGGTCTGATAAAGTATTTTGAAATGCGGATGGTAACTCAGTAACGTATAAATTGAAAAGCAAGGGGCTTAAAATACAGCTCTGGCGTACGCCTCGTGAATAGCTAAAAGTCTTGTTTGACTCGTACCTATTTTCAATGCACACGAAGAGTTTGAATATCGGTTTTTGATTAACTTATAGAAACATCCCCTACACCAATTTGTAATAATTTATGTAAAAGTCCGTCATGCCAGACTGAGTCAAAGGCTTTTCTAAAGTCAGCAAAACAAGCGTATACTTTTTCACCGTGATAGTGTGCGTACTTGTCTATAAGAGTTCGTAATGTTAGGAGGTGGTCTGATGTTCGATTTTTCGGTAAGAAGCCTATTTGAGACTTGTGGAGTATGTTCAGCGAAGTGACGTGTTCAAGAAGTCTTTGGTTTAAAATTGAGAAGAACAACTTTCCTAGACAACTAGAAACACAAATCCCGCGGTAATTTGATGGGTCATTTCTTACGCCAGATTTAAATATGGGAGTTGTAAGACCGTTGCACCAATTTTTAGGCACTGTTCCCAAGTTAAGA